TTAGATAATTATTATAAATTAATAGTTTAAAAAAATTAAAAGTTCAAAATACAAAATACAAATTTGAAGGTTACATATTAAATAATAATTATTTACAGTATTCACAAACACGTTTAAACTTTAGGTCAACACTCAACACAATATTTATTTTTTGTACCATTACAGTAAAATATAAATAGTAAAACAATTCTTAAATTATACAAAATATTGTTTAATTGGTAAGTCAAAATACAATTTATACATAATATATTTACATTACTATAAGTGAGAAAGAATGTCCAATTTTCTATATTTTCTAGGAGCTGACAWTAAACTTTTATTTAATTTCTTGATAGTATGAAATATTCTTAACCGTACAAAAGGCTTTTCAGAAACTCCAGATTAAAATTTGGGCATGGATGTGTAAATGRTAAGTTATCTAACAAATTTTTTATTTTCCATCCTACTTGATCTTCTATAGCAAGTGTAGAAAAGTTGTCTGTAAAAATATTATCTAATTCATTTATATAATTTAGAAAAGAATCTGGTGGTACGTTTAACTGTCCATAAGCTGTTTTTACTTAATTTTGGTAAGCCTTGAAATGTGTAAATAAAAATGATTCATCAATGTTATTTTGACTCTTGGCAAACTCCAAGCAAGTGTCGCAGGTATGTTTATCCAGACATTTTTTTTATAAAATAACCACTTACATATGAAAGAGCATTTCTAGAAGTAAACTCCAAATCTCTATAATCTAAAGTCCCAACCCTCAAATTGTTACAGGAATATGAATTCTTCTCTGGAAATAATGTATTTGAATTATTGAGTGTAGGTGTAGTTGTATCCCCAATGTTGGTAAAAATTTCATCCAAGTCCTCCAAACAATTTGCTCCATCTGAGTGTTTAAAATAATGTAAGAAAAACACTTTCTTAAATGCCCAGTAAAACTGAATTGTGGTTGGATTTACATTATTACCGTTCTGATTTCTAAAATTTCCAAACATGTTTTCCAAGCAGTCCTGGTTTAATCTGTATGTGCATAATGTATATCCAGGAGTTTGAATTTCATCCCATAATTGCAATAATGAATTTATTGTAATTTTCCATCCATTTATAAATTTCATGCGTTGAGAGACATCAATATGTGTAGTATTTCCATCAATAATTTTAGTATCAATAACACGCATATTATTAAAAATATCTATCATCATGATTAAATGATCTCTCTGGTTAGTGGTATTTTTGAATAGCAGGTTCAATTCTTTACTTGCTGCTTTTGTTCTAGAGTTCAATATATCAAATAGTTTGTCCATATACTCAATGAAATTGACTGTAGTCTCAGCAGCACGAGGTAACTTACCATACTCAACACAGCTACGCATACTTGCTGCAACTGTTGCACTGAAAACTTGAGATGCATAAGATACTTKCATCTTCTGAAATGGACTTGGATTAATATGTGCATCAGTGAGCTTAGGTGCACAGCGATTAACACCTTGGTCAGCCTTGTAAAAATCATTCAAGTATTTTTTATCTGTCATATTGTTGAAAACTTCAAGATTGTATTTGAAAAAATTGTTTCTTGTTGACTTCAACAAATGGGGCGCATCAAACACATAATAAATTTTGAATCCATTCACAAAGAAATATGGTCGTTCACTAGTTACATACATCTTATTAGCAAAACTATAGAAATTTGATCCCTGATATTAACAGAAATACTTTGTAGTCTTGAAATTACAGCAAAAATTGTATTCTGTAATGGAATTCCTGTACAACTGTTATTGATAAAATAATATGCCACTGGCTGTTTCCACTTATAATTTAAGCTTCTGACCATAAAACAAAGAACATGTTTTACAGGTTCATAAGTTTTTTTTTAGATGAATGATTGAAACCAATAATTGAATCTTTTGATAAATTATAAAATAGATTTGTTTTAATGGCCATTTCATATACACATAGAACGCAGTCTTTTGCATCTTCTTTTAAATTTTTGAATTTAAGTTCCATAGAATTAAATAAAATATCATTTATTCCTATTCCAATTTCAATTTTYTGTATAATTCTTCTTAATGTTCTAGGTGTAGGTAGTTGTAAAATGATTTTTAAAAATCTGTATGCGATGGGTCCAAAAAAATAAATTGTTAGAGCTAACTGTTTAAGATGACTATTATAACGATAACCTTGAGGTTTTCTGCTGGCTAATTTGACATAATTTTTTATTAAYATTGCTAAGTTGGGTGGCAAATGGGCATCAACAACTTCATTGAAATGATCAACAGATGTTAGCATTTCTGAAATACGTTTTGTGTTTGCATTCGTATTTTCTTCTAACTTCTTACATTTTATCTCCAGTTCACGTACATAGTCCTCAAACTTTTCTTCCTAGGAGTGTTCACTGATAGCACTTGAGTGGTTTGGGTACAAATTGAAGTTGAAGTTTGACTACTTTCTGAAATTGTTCTGTTAGATGATGTTACAYCTGTAAATAACAAAAAATAATAAATATAACTCAATATTGTAATAAAAGTAATATCTTTTCTTTTTTTTTTTTTTAACATAATTTTTTATTAGGCAATCTGTTACAAATTTTGAACAATAAGCTTAATTGATAATTTTTTGATACCCACAGGTAACACAGAGTGAAAAGACCTCCCAGTGGAGCACTTTGTCAAAATGTAATATCTAATAGTTAT